TATATATAATTTTATTGATATTTTCTACTTTATAATTATATAAGTATATTTATTTTATTTAAAATGTTAATATTGATCTATTATAAACTTTAATTACATTTTTTCTTAATTATTTTCAGACCACTACCGGTCCGGAAAAGTTATTCAGACCAATAGTGGTTCGAATATGAATTTCTTTTTTTTTTTTTCTTTATTTCAATGCTTTACATTTATTTATGAGTTTTATTATTTATTTGTTATTATTGTGAATTTTTCTTATTAGTGGATGCTTCACCTTCACATTCATCTTTACATATTGCAACTTCTCACAATTAAGGGTTCATTCCTCACCATTAAAGGGTCATTCTTGACCACCTACTAAAGGCCATTCAAAGGGCCATTCAATAGGCCATTCAAAGGGCCATTCAATAGGCCATTCAAAGGGGCCATTAAGGTGCCATTCGAGAGTCCATTAAGGTGCCATTCATATTCTCATTTAGTCCTATTCAATAGCAAATGTAACCTCCTATGTCCCTTACCCTATATATAGGCCTACAAATTTGTATGTTGGTAGAAGGAAGAATACTTGATGAAATAAGAAACTCTCTCCTTTCATTTGTCATCTTGCCATTTTTCCTCTTATTTTATAATACGTTATTAGCACGATCGTCTCCACCATTCAATTTGTGGTAAGCTCTTAAGGTAATCATTTGTTTTCCTAATTTAAATTTGATTTTAGTCTAACGAATTTTTGCAGCCACAATGTCAAACTTAACAAAACTTGAATTTGCCGCCCTTGATATAACGGGCTCAAATTATTTGCCATGGATACTTGATGTTGAAATCCATTTGGCTGCAAATAATCTTGGTGAAACAATTGTTGAGGGAAATCAAACCTCCTTACAAGATCACGCTAAAGCGTTGATATTCCTTCGCCATCATCTCCATGAGGGATTGAAGGCTGAATATTTGACAATCAAAGATCCATTTGAATTATGGCAAAATTTGAAAGAAAGATATGATCACCAAAAATCAGTGATATTGCCAAAAGCTCGTTATGAATGGATGCATCTACGATTGCAAGATTTTAAATCTGTGAGTGAGTATAACTCCGCAGTATTCCGCATTTCATCTCAATTAAAATTATATGGTGAAAAAATTACTGATGAAGATATGTTGGAGAAAACATTCTCCACTTTTCATGCCTCGAATTTGCTTCTTCAGCAACAATATCGAGAGCGTGGCTTTAAAAAATATTCAGATTTGATATCATGTCTTCTTGTTGCTGAACAAAATAATGAACTTTTGATGAAAAATCATCAGTCACAGCCTATTGGTTCAACCCCATTACCTGAGGCAAATGCAACCTCATATAATAATTATGGGCGTGGTTGAGGCCGTCGTCATGGTCGTAATCGTGGCAATAACCATGGCCGAGGGTATGCCCGTGGTCGAAATAATACTTGGCATCGTAGAGGTTTCAACCCCAAATATGAATCTATTGAACCAAAGAACGTAAGGGGTAGAAATTTACAAAAGAACCCTGCGAAAGTTTCTGAAAGTTTTTGTTATCGATGTGGAGCAAAAGGACATTGGGAGCGTGCTTGTTGCACTGCTAGGCATTTAGTTGATCTTTACCAAGCCTCACTTAATGAAAAGGGAAAAGGAAAAGGAAAAGGAAAAGATCCAGAAATGAATTTCATTGAGCAAAATAATGTGGATCTTGATACACACCTTGATGTTGCTGATTTTTTTGAGGCTGTTGAAAAGCTTAATGGTGTTGGTGGTGATACTCAACCAAGAGTTTGACTTATTATGTCCTCTTAAATAATTTGCCTTTTGTGGCCATTTCCCTTTTTTTTTTTTT